ATGGAGTCGTCAGTAGTGTGTTGGAATGTATCAGTGTGCTTGTGAAGTGGTGTGTGGTGCTTGTGCAGGGATGTTTGCTGGAAGTTATAAGCTCATTTTGCGCATCCCGGCCCCCCCTAGGCGAATGTTTAGCCAAGAGTCTTGCAGCTGTTGCAAGCGTTGCTACAACGTGCAGTCCCGTAGAGCGGCGATATTGCGCATAGAGTGCCGGCGGCATCATCGGTGCTTCGTTCGTGCTCCTTAATCGGGACACAGGAGGGCTGCTGTCGCGGTGCTGTATTGCCCGAGTAGATAGTGGTTGTCTTTGGAGGGCGGCTCGCGGGGCAGGCGGCCGACCGATGTACGTCTCGGGTGCGATGGAGCAACGTATGATGCAACCTGCCACATATTTGGCACAGATTGACGGGACTGCACTCCTGAGTGTTATGTGCCGCTGTCAAGCAATTGAGACAATGCCCATGAGCCTGGGCAATTTGCTGGCGTTGCATCGGTTGCATGCCCTAAGAAAGTTGCAGTGTTGTAGTCGGTTGGAGGCGGCGGCAAATGATGCTCCGGACGCGCTGCGGTTCCTTTTGCTGTTGGTGACGGTCGCGCGCTACTTCGAGGAGCGGCTGTAGAGCGGTTGCAGTTACAGATCGCGGCGCTGGAGTAACCCAGGTCGCGGCACATTGATACCGACCGATTAGCAGGCGTTGGCATAGGGCATCTGCGTCCATAGTTATCTAAGTAAAAGATTATTGGCTTTATAAAGTTTTAAGATATAAGTTGAAATTGGCATTCTACAACTCTTGTAGCAGAAGGTATAATCGATTTGTTAGTTATATATAGTACTTATTATATTATATTACGGATTGTTGTCGAGTTGCGAGTTATTGTCTTTTCGTTTTTCGTCGATTTATTGAAACGGTTATGAATTGCGTTTTCGGGATTATGATCGTATTATCGTTATTATTTGCTTTTTCGTTTATATCTGCGGTTGGTAGCAAGCACGCTTCACAGCGGTCTGTTAGCGTTCGCTTTGGTGCGGAGATCAACTACTTTATATGACCGTCGGAGCCATAATGTAGCTTTCATGCGACCAAGCCGCCATTCGGCGGGGTAGACAATCATCATGAATAATGACACAATCTCCAAGCTTCGGCGCCTTTCTGGAGCTTTCCAGCGGTACTCTTGTGGAGGTCCTTAGATAATCTTCTTTCATCGGCGACTAAAATTGTGATGGAGAATTTGATTCTTTCCCATCGGTTTAATAGGATAGCGACTCCACGTCTGGCTCAGGTATGGCCAGAATGGGTGCTCCTTGAAAAATGCCCAGGAGTTAGGGCGGTGAAATCGGAGGATCTGCGAGAGGATTGTGATTGGCCGTGAATTGAGTAGGCTTCAATCCGAATTAATAAGGTCGAGAATTCTTCATAATTAAACTTGTAGTTTCCAGCTACTTTTGATCTGGGTCAAATCCAGCTTTTACAGCTGATTCCCATAAACCACCCATATGAGGAGCGCTTGGGGATAAACGCAATAATGCCTTGGGGTGCGTACTTCTGACAATCTCAGATGAGATTTGTATAAAGTCCACAAACTGTTCTTCAGTGGCTCTTTTGGCTCCAATAAACGTTTTCTGTTGTCACTCATTATTTTGAAGGAAAACCACGCCGTCGACGAAGCGACGGCGAATGCCGCGAGAAAAGCCTCTGTCGTCAGATGTTACATAGCTCAAGGGGAACAGCTTTTGTCGTAAAACAAACAAAACTGCCACATAGCCTTTCATTAAAGTGGGAGATCTTAACATTGAAGCCTTTATCTGGAAAGGCCCAGCAAAATCTACACCTGTTGTTGTGAAGGGCAGAGCAAAGTTGCAGCGTTCAGGTGGAAGTGCTGCCATTATCTGCGTTCGCATTTTTGCTTGTAAAACTTTGCACATGTAAATGCACTTTTTATTTGAGGCTTAAGACGGGGATATAAAACTCTTGGCGGACTATTTGTTGCATGAGGCGGTGCTCGGCGTGTAGCATCAGTATGTGGACATAATGCAGATATAATGTGGCAAGCCGTGCTTTTCTGGTATGATTATGGGATGTCGTTCGTTGTATGGCAGGCTGGAGTTGACAGCCGACCATTCCACTGAAGCAAACCCTTGTGTCCAAATGGATTTAGTACTAAAGTGAGCTCTTCTATCGATTGGCTTCGAATCTTTTAGCAATGATATTTCTCGGCTGAAGTAGCGCGTTTGAGTAGATGCGATAAGAGCGACGCTTGCTTTTTGTAAGCCTAGGTGCGTCACTGTATTGCATTGAGTGTAATGAAGTTACTCCTTAAGTTTAATTTGAGTCACTCTATGGACTTGAGCATGTAAGCTATTACGCTGAGTGCTCGGGATACGATGAAAATCGATCGAGGATGTCAGTATCATCCACTGTTGTGTGAAAAGAGTCGATTTTCGACTTTCTGGGCAATTATATTGCGCATGGCGATTGTGCAAGAATCGGGAGATTCTGTTAACCATCGGGCCATTCCCCAGAGGTGGTGGTGGCAAGATGCGGGTTGCATCCTCTTGTACCTAGATCAGCAAGGATTGTCAGCCTGGCTACATGTCGCCAAGTGGCTGATCCTACTAGGTCAAGTATTTGAGACGTTCGATTAAAATATACGTCTTCCATGCATGTGGTGGTTTTCTAACCAGGCTAGTACAATTTCGGAATCGGACCATAGATATAATTTATTTGTGCCATGTTTAAATGCGTTTCTACGATGGACACGAGTTTGGCTAGTAGTAGCGCTCCACATAATTCAAGTCGTGGCAGACTTATTGTTTTTAAGGAAGGCCACTTTTGCTTTACTACTAGTAGTAGTGGCCAATATGCCTTCAGAAGCGGCACAGAAGCCGTGTAGTTCACTTTGTGCTCTGGCATACATTACCCATCGTGGGATTTGTATCTGTGAGATATCGTTTAGATTGTTTCCAAACTGGACCACTTTTCTAAACGAAGTGGTTTACTTGATTCGTCCCAGTCGGTTCCATCTAGCCATAATTCTTGTATTAGAATTTTTGCTGTATCATAACTGACAAAGCCATCCGCGGGGTCGAAAAGTTTCGCCACAGGATAGAATTTGTCGTTTCGATGGCGGATAATGCAAGGATATTGCCTCTGTATGTAGTGAAACTGGTAGAATATCGCATATCCATTGGTCCCCAGAGTTTTTGTTATACTTTCTTTGCGGAATTTAAAATTAGTATCTACAAAATTTTCATGTAGGTATATTTTTAGAAATAGTTAGGGTGGTTCGCCGTTATCTTTTTCAACGGAAACCTCTGCGGTTTTGAGCTTTTATCACTTATGTAGTGACTCGTATGCTTGTGGAAGGACTGTGACTTCCAGACAAAGATATCGTCATACCATACGTTTGTGTTTTAACACCTGGGTTGCCAGAGGAAATTCTGACTTGGTGTTTCTGCCAATTCGTGCAGTGTTCGAATGGCTAAATATGGTCATGTTGAACGGGTTTCGTTCTCACCATTTATCTACCCTTTCTGCGATTTCATATTGGGTAGTTGGAAATCTTTCATTTTTGCCACGGTGGGGCATTTTCTTCGTGATGAGCGATTGTTCCCATAAGTAATGATTTTCTGGTAATGCGGCAGTGCATATGTTTACCAGTATTGGATCCCAGCTGTCTGTGGGAATATTTTGTGTCGATACGCAAGATCCCTCCGATTTCACCGCCCTAACTCCTGGGCATTTTCTCAAAGGAGCACCCATTCTGGCCATACCTGAGCCAGACGTGGAGTCGCTATCCTTATTAAACCGATGGGAAAGAATCAAAATTCTCCATCACAATTTTAGTCGCCGATGGAAAGAAGATTATCTAAAGGACCTCCACAAGAGGTACCGCTGGAAAGCTCCAGAAAAGGCGCCGAAGCTTGGAGATTGTGTCATTATTCATGATGATTGTCTACCCCCTGCCGAATGGCGGCTTGGTCGCATAGAAAAGCTACATTATGGCTCCGACGGTCATATAAGAGTAGTTGATCTCCGCACCCAAAGCGGAACGCTAACCAGACCGCTCGTGAAGCTGTGCTTTCTACCAACCGCAGATATAAACGAAAAAGCAAATAATAAACGATAATACGATCATAATCCCGAAAACGCAATTCATAACCGTTTCAATAAATCGACGAAAAAACGAAAAGACAATAACTCGCAAACTCGACAACAATCCGTATATATAAGTATATAAGTATTATATATAAACTAACGAATCGATTAATACCCCTTCATGCTACCAAGAGTTGTAGAATGCCAATTTCAACTTATATCTTAAAACTTTATAAAGCCCAATAATCTTTTCTACTTAGATAACTATGGACGCAGATGCACCTATGCCAACGCCTGCTAATCGGTCGGCTATCAATGTGCCGCGACCTGGGGTTACTCCAGCGCCGCGATCTGTAACTGCAACCGCTCCTACAGCCGCTCCTCGAAGTAGCGCGCGACCGTCACCAACAGCAAACAGGGAACCGCAGCGCGTCCGGAGCATCATTTGCCGCCGCCCTCACCGACTACAACACTGCAACTTTCTTAGAGGCATGCAACCGATGCAACGCCAGCAAATTGCCCAGGCTCATGGGCATTGTCTCAATTGCTTGACAGCGGCACATAACACTCAGGAGTGCACGTCCGTCAATCTGTGCCAAATATGTGGCAGGTTGCATCATACGTTGCTCCATCGCAACCCGAGACGTGACATCGGTCGGCCGCCTGCCCCGCGCAGCCGCCCTCCAAGTAGACAACCACTATCTACTCGGGCAATACAGCACCGACGACCAGCAGCCCCTCCTGTGTCCCGATTAAGGAGCCACCGAAACGAAGCACCGATGATGCGCCGGCACTCTATGCCGCAATATCGCCGCTCTACGGGACTGAGCAACGTTGTAGCAACGCTGCAACAGCTGCAACGACTCTTAGGCTAAACATTCGCCTAGGGGGGCCGGGATGGCAAAATGAGCTATAAGCCTTCCAGCAAACATCCCTGCACAAGCACCACACACCACTTCACAAGCAACACTGATACATTCCAACACACCACACAATACCATCCACTCCTGAAAACACCACACACCAATACATACAACTTTACACAACTCACCGAGGGATACCAACACACACCACACCTTCAACACACCCACGATCTCACCACTCTACCCAACGAACAAAAGGGATGGACGATTGGACACGGGCCCTTTTTTTCGATCGATCGCCGTCGTATACGCATCATCCGAATCCTGTTCTGCGCCACCCCGGAAATATATCGTTTTTTCACATCATTTTTAAACAACCTTATAAATAATTTCAAAGAATAATAAAACTTCAAGTGGGAAAATCCTTTATACATTTGATATCAAATTTGTGCTTTTTTTTTATTCGGAAAAAAGTATAGTGGTGAGTGTTTTGGTGCAATTTAGTACCCGAGTAAATACCCCAGATACTTTAACGATGTTTGTGTCGAGATGTTAGTTTCTTTTTGTTTGTAATAAACACTGCCTCAATTTTTTGTTCCGCAAGTTGAAGTTTTGCGCTTGCTAGCCACTGCTTTATCTGTTGTACTGTATCACTAAATATATTTTGGATTTGGTGTAGTTCTTTAGCTACTATTGTCACTGCAATATCGTCGGCATATCCGATTATCTTTTCTTCTTTGCGCAAAGAGAGCAGGAGCCTGTCAGATAAATAGCTTTATGATTTTCAACAAATAAGATGGTGTTCTCTTGTTCTCTAGTGCTTGCAGTATATGGGACCAGCTGGCCGAATTAAACGCGTTTTTTACATCGAAAGTAATGACAGCGCAGTATTGCTTTTTGCCATAAATCCACCTATCTCCTTCAATAGCTTTTCCATATCTTTGGGAAGACACCTTCTCGCAAGCATCGTGAATATAACGCCGTGAATGTCTTTGTGTTAAGTTTTACTGCGAGTTTTAGAGCCCTGTTCGGAATACCATCCAGTCCTGGTGCTTTAGAATTTCCGAACCGCTCCACAGCTTGTAGTACTTCCATATCATTGACCTCTTGCGGAGAACTCCACATTCGTGGCTTTGTTTAGGAAACAGCGTTTCAACTACCTTTTGGATTAACGAGGGACAGGTAGGTGCTTGTCCTTTGCCCCCTCCAAACCTTGACATTACGATTTTATATGCTTCGCCCCAGGGGTTCTCGTCTACTTTGTCACATAGAGGTTTGAAGTAGGCATTTTTGCTCTATTTTATCGCCTTTTTGAGCTTGCTTCGTTTTTTCTTGAAAATGTCACGGAGTACAGTATATTCCCCTCTTCCTTTGCTCCGCTGACATAGGCCCCATGCTTTGTGACAATCACTTCTCAGTATTTCGATTTCACTGCTCCACCAATCTGCCGGCTTTCTCCGAACAGTATGTTCCTTTTTCATCATGGCGGCATCGCATGCTTTAGTAACATGATGAACCAAAAGTTTGGCCTGCTGGTCTACGTCATTACTTTCATTGAGGTTTTCGTCAAAAATAAATTGGAAAACATCCTCCTTCAGTGTTTCGATCCTCCATCCTTTGGCCTGCACATTTTGTCGGCAGAGGTTTCTTCTTGGCCGTTCCATGTCCTTGTTGATATTTATCATTATTCCCAGATGATAACTCTGGGTATATGTATCAGACACCCGCCAGTCTGTTGATCGAAATAAGGAACTGCTGGCAATAGATATATCAATAATGGCGCCTCGTCCATTCTTCTCAAAAGTGTTTTGTGTCCCTGTGTTCAACAGTACAACTTCTAGCAGGCCGAAGGCTTTGAGCAATGTACTGCCTTTCTGGTTAGTAGCTTTGCTTCCCCATTCTAGAGCCCAGGCATTAAAGTCCCCTGCAATTATGTTAGGTGTTGTGGTCATTGCTTCTTTCACAACTTATCCAGTCCAGTATTTTTTCATAGTTAGTATGCGATATACTTGGCGGTATGTAGCAGCTGTAAAAATAAATCCCACATATTTTACCTCGTGTGAAGTACGCATTTTGCGTTAGTGGTTTGTCGTGTATCACTTTATCTCCACATGCCCATATTGCAACCTTATTGGTGGTATCTGAGATATTGTTCACAAATTGTTGCTACGTCAATATTGTTTTCATAGGCCGTTTGCGTTAAGAAATCCTGAGCTGCCTCGCAGTGGCTCAAGTTTATTTGCAGGATCTTCACTTCTTAGTTTTACTACATGCTGCTGTATAGATGGGGCATGTTAGGCTTCCTATTTGGTGGTCAGTGTTCGTTCTCTCACTGTTTTTGCACGCAGTGCAAAAGGGTTTATTGGTACAAGTTTTTGCCCGGTGGCCCGCTTCTCCACATTTAATACAGCACAGACTCCTGCCTGTATTGTTGCATGCTTTCGCCACGTGTCCATATAAGCATCTAAAACATTTCCTCAGTTGTGTGTTTTCTCTTATTTAGCATACTGTCCAGGCGATCTTTATCTTTTGCGCCTGCAATAGATATTTTTCTTCTTGCACCGGAAGACTTATCACTGCTTTTTGCGTGCCTGCGTAAGCCGCTCTGATGCTATTTATTGAATTGTCCTCGAAAAGGCTAAGCTCTTTAATTTGAAAACGAATCGCTTCTGCAATGTCCTTTTTCGTAGTGATATCGTCCATGTCACTCGCCTCCACTGTTGTCTTCTGTTGCAGTGTTCTAATTTACGTCTGGTCGCCTAGTATTTTCCCTATGTCCTCCTTGTATGTGTTTGTGTCTTCTTCAGTTCAAGCAAAATCTCTCCTTTGGCTGTCTTCTTTACTCGTCAGACGTTTTTGCCAAGTTCTTGCAAAGTTCCGTTATTTTTTACCGCTCGGAGTATGTCAGCGTACGTCATATTACAATTTTTTGCAATGACAATTGCATTAGGCCGTATGCGTGGTGCGGGGTTTGCATTTTTTTAATTTTTCTTCTTTTGCTCTTTACGTTGGACCGTAGTCCAGTCCTCTTCTGTTGACGACTCCATTCTTGAGCATTTATTATCGCTCTTTTCTTCCTCGCAACTCTTGTTAACCACCGTTTTCCCCGTCCGCTCTTCGTGGGAGGTTTTGGTCCTTTTAGGTGGCGTCTTTCTGTTTATTTGGTTGTTATCTTGTGGCCTTTTAGGCGTTACCTCAACAACCGTTTGCTGACTTGCTAAGATTCGATTACTTTCCCTTTGTCTAATATGATCCTCTTTCGCTTGGAGCTTTGAGATTGTGCTCAGCAATTCTCTCATGGCATTGTTGATGGAACGCTGTGGCGGGCACATCATATCCGCTAAGTTTTGGATAATTTCTCCCAATTCGTATACATGATCCCGTTTGGCTTGCCCCTTCTTTACCGCGATCGTGAATCCCTCTGGTAGCTTCAGTGGTGACGATTTTGCGCGCGTGGGTCTATCCGTAGAAAGCACTGGCCAGCCTTCTTAAAGGGGTCGACTTCTGAGAGGTCGCTCGTGCTTGCATTCTATCTGCGCCATTTACTAGCTGCTCCACATGGGGATCATTCGGTATCGACGTCTTCTGAAGAGAGCTGCTAATGATACCGTTTCTTTTGTTGCTGCTATTGTTGTTTTTGTTGTTTGTTTTTTCTATTATTGTCTCCATTAATCAGTTTTACCAGCGCATCGTGTGCACGGGGGCGGGTCGAAATAGACCGGAACGGGTATACCCTCGGAGACGATGCCCCTACCCCCGTTCCCTGAGGCCTGTCCTTCGCTTTACCAGGAATACACGGACGAACCGGCGCTCGCCCGAAGCAACGCAGTCTACTAGTTCTGCACCCAATGGATACTTCCTGACCTAGGCCTGAAGGGGCTAGTTACTGATTCACATCGTGGCTAACACTTCGGCAGAGCAAGCTCACATCACCCTCTCCAAAACACCAGCGGGATACAGCTGATGATATTTCGTGGGACTCCTCGTGCGCCCCGGTATGAAACCGTTCATTGTGAGTCCATCTCGCCTGGATTTTTCTATTACTCACCATGCCCACGCATCCTCTATTCGTTGTTACTTATTTCGCAATTAACCTGCTACTACAGGCCGTCCGGCTATCCGCGTCCCAGCGAGAAATTCAAAAAAATCGTTTTTTGCAGCATAACTCTTTAAGAATATGTCCCTAAACGGGTTTTTTGAAGTTTCATTTATTTTGGGAGTTACAGCACATTTTGTGATGCGCCGACAAAAGCGACTTGCAGCTCGGGGCCAGCTTTAAAGTCGTTTTTCTCTACTTCTATTTTAAAAACGGTGTGCATGATATCTCAAGTTCTACTCAATAGATTTACTTGAAATTTTATACAGAGCTTCTTTAAAAAATATACTATCGCACTACGAGAGGACTTTTGAAAAAATAAAATTTTGTATATAATTCTGTTTTATGGCAACGATTTTTTTCATGTTCATATTTTTATGAACAATTGGCAACAAGAAGATGGAGCATTTGTGGTAGTGTTCCTTCATCATCATTTAGTAAAAAACAAAATGGTTCCTCATTTAAACGAAAATAACTAATGAATCTGCAACAAGCATTATTTAAAAAACATTTAATTGTCAATAAATTTATATACAAATATTCAATATTTTATTTGCTTCCTTATCAGCTTATTTTATTGTTACTTTATTACTTATTTACAAATTCCGCCACATGTCGTTAAACTCATACATTTCTTTCATTGTATGTATAATAATGTTTTTGTTTGTGAACAGTATATACTCCATTGCATATCCTTATAATTATTGATATTTAATATATAATTCTAGTAAACACAAGTATGATGTATATGCTTTTAACCTTCTGTAAGTTTTGATAATCTTTGGTTTTTTTCTACCGTTTGTAGTTTTTACAACCAAATTATAAGAAATTGGACCTCTTAATTAATTTATATTTACCGCAGATGGAATGACAATATCCAGTTTCCCAACTTCTAACAATTAAAACGGCTATACGTAAATAACTTTACATTTCTGTTGATTAAGATGAAATCGCAAATGATCATACGAGCATAGTCAGAGGTTAGCGACTCTTTAAGGGGTTAGATGGGTTTTAGAGGTTCAAAACATGATATTTTTACTATTTTTTATTTA